CGTGCAACAGAGAAACCAACCAGGTGACCTCCGTAGACACATCAGCCAGAGCCTTGTATTCAGCCTCTGTAGACGAACGAGCAACCGTGCGTTGCTTCCGACAAGACCAGGAAATCAGATTGCCACCAAGAAAAACCGCAAAACCACTAGTAGACTTCCTGTCAGCTGGATCACCAGCCCAGTCCGAATCCGAAAAGGCATGAACCGCAACAGAGGAGGAAGGACGAATAAAAAGACCAAAGTGCAGAGTTCCTTTTACATACCGCAGAACACGCTTGAGCATAGCCCAATGCTCAGTGGTTGGAGAGTGCATATGCTGACAGACCCGATTCACGGCAAAAGAGAGATCCGGACGAGTAACAGTAAGATACTGTAGAGCCCCAACAAGACTGCGATACTGCGTGGGATCCGCATAGGGAACCACAAAATCAGAAGAAGGTCGGGACACAGGAACCGGAGTAGCCAACGGTTTACAGTCCACCATACCTGCATGGATCAAAATATCTCGCATGTATCGCTGCTGAGAAAGAAACAAACCACCATCCTTGGAGACTGTCTCAATGCCAAGAAAAAAAGACGGAGCACCCATGTCACGAATCTTAAACTCCGAGGCTAAGTCAGTAAGAAGCCGAGTAACACACGAAGCATCAGACCCCATAACAAGGATATCATCAACATAGACAAGCAAATATAAACAAATAGAGGCACGAGTATAGATGAATAAAGAAACATCAGTCTTGGAGGGTGAAAAACCAACCGACACCAAGAAAGCATGCAACCTATTGAACCACGCTCGAGGAGCCTGATTAAGACCATAGAGTGACCTCTGTAACAACCACACATCATCCGGCCGTGACTGGTCTTCATAACCGGGCGGCTGTCTCATGTAAACTGTCTCTGCAAGATTACCATTGAGGAAGGCGTTGTGAACATCCAACTGCCGAATGACCCAACCGCGAGAAACGGCTAAAGAGAGAAGAAGCCGCACGGTGGTGGGTTTGACAACAGGACTGAAAGTCTCAAAAAAGTCTTGCCCAGGGACTTGATTGAAACCCTTTGCGACCAATCGAGCCTTGTGCCGCTCAATTGTGCCATCGGCCTTGCGCTTCGTTCTGAACACCCATTTGCACCCCACAACATTCATGCCAGGTGTACGACTAACCAGACACCAAGTGTGATTGTGGAGCAAGGCATTAAACTCAAGATCCATGGCCTCACGCCACTCCGGATACCGAACTGCCTGAGAATAACAAGTCGGTTCAGGAACAGTCATAAGAGCCACATGCTGCGTCGGTCCTTGAGAACGGGTTGCCATGACATGAGACCGAGGCTGAACAGGCTTCGCCGTACGGCGACCTCGCTTGGGCGCAGTAGGAGCACCCGAGACCGCCCCTTCCGGAGCCGTAGCAGTCACGGTGCGAGAATCTGAACCAGCTGCGGCAGCCCCGGAATCCGTGTCCAACTCCGGATGAGGATCAGGTCCAGTGGGACAAACATCGGAGCCAACACCAACCCGAATGGCACCAACACCCCACGGCTCAACCGGGCGAGAGCTAGAGACCTGAGAAGGCATAGAAGAAGCAAACGGATATACGGTCTCATCAAACCGTACATGACGACAAATGAATACCTTGTTAGTAGCAGGATCTAAACAACGATAGCCACGAAACGAAGACGGATAACCAAGAAACACACACGGGGATGACCGATACTGCAACTTGTTACGATTGTACGGGCGCAACAGAGGATAACAGAGACAGCCAAACACACGCAAGAAGGAATAAGAATGATTAGAATGATGCAAACGATAATGAGGACTGACATTGTCTAGAACTCGAGTAGGCATTTTATTGATGAGATAGACCGCAGTCTCAAAGGCATAATCCCAATATCGCTGTGGAACCGAAGCCTGAGCCAAGAGAGCCAGACCCGTTTCCACAACGTGACGATGCCGACGCTCAACTCTACCATTCTGCTCATGGGTATAGGCACAAGATTGCCTATGATTGATACCCAAAGAGACAAAAGTACGGTGCAACCGTTTATACTCTCCCCTAAATCAGATTGTATAGAGACAATCTTACGACCATACGAACGCTCAACTAGTGACCGAAACTGCTCGAAGATAGCATACACATCAGTTTTTAATCGCATAGGATAAAACCATACATAGCGTGTGTAGTCATCAACAAACAAAACAAAATAACGAAAACCATTGACAGAAAGAAAAGGCGCTGGGCCCCAAATATCAGTATAAATAAGCTCTAAAACATGCGACGTAGTAGTATTGACACGAGGCAAGGGAAACCGAGATGATTTCCCAAGCATACAAGCACGACACGACACCGAACTATTACTAAAACTAGAATCAATGGAACACGAATTCAAAATCTGCCGCAAGACACGAGGATGAGGGTGACCCAACCGACCATGCCAAACGTCAGAGGAGACACGCGAAGCCACTAACGCAGCGGGACTCGAACGAGAAACATGCCAAGAATAGAGACCCCCCGAAGCCTGCCCTCTATACAGAACTTCCCTGGTTGAACGATCCTTCACAAAGAAACAATCAGGGTGAAATTCAAAGAATACATTATTATCACGGGCAAACCGTTGCACAGATAATAAAGACGCAGAAAGCCCAGGAACAAAAAGAACATCAGACAACCGAAACAGTGTTTTAGAAGAGGCTACCGAAGACGGACCAGTACCAACAATAGGTAAACACTTACCGTCACCAACACGAAGATGATCCGGACCGTTATAAGAGACCGTCGAGGACATCAAAGACGGATCTGGGGTGGGATGGTTCGATGCACCAGTGTCGGGAAACCATTGCTGAGTGCTAACCGAAGTCGCATCATCCACAGGATACGCAACATGCGCTCTCGGCCCCGGAGCTCCATCGTACCGGCGAGAGCACGAAGCGGCCGAATGGCCCTCGCCGGAGCAGATCTGGCATTGGACAGCACCGGCACCGCCACGACCACGGCCACGCCCTTTGCCGCGACCACGGCCGCGGTTACCGCCTCCACGCTGTTGCCCGCCCGAACGGCCTCCACCTCGCTGAGCCGCCATGGCGACCGGAGCAGCAGCAACATCACCAGCATCATCGGCACATATAAAAGCCTGCGAAACAAGAAAATCGGATAGCTCGGGCAGAGACACCGGAGCACCCCTTGTGAGCGACGCCACCAAAGGACGATATTCGGATCGCAAGCCTCGGAATATATACATATTCTGATCCTCTAGCGTCACCGGACGGCCGGCAAGCGCTAAATCCTCGATAAGCACCTGCGCACGGCCAAGATAGTCCGGGATCGAAGCATCCCCCTGCCGTAATCCTTGCAACTCGCCCACCAACAGGAGGGCACGAGCCCGTGTAGTCGAACCAAGAACCTGTTCGATTGCCAACCACAAATGCCGAGAAGTGGACTTATCGATTGCGAGGTGCATCATCTCGTCGGACAAGGATGAGATTAATAAGGAGAGCACGACCTTATCTTGACGGAGCCATGCACTCCGAGCAGCGGAAGACGAAGCCGACGAAGGCACGGCAGGAACAGCTCCCTCGGCAGGCGGCACGGCAAGCGCGGTGATTGGCGGACATACCGAAGTACCATCGACAAAACCCAACAACCCTTGGCCATCCAAGAACGGAAGAAGCTGAGTACGCCAAAACAAAAAATTGCGGGATGTCAACTTGATGGAGACGAAGTGATGTGCCGAAGAGAAAGACACCCCCGACTGCAGCGGTGCAACAAGCGCGGCCTCGGAAACAGTCCGTTCAGAACTACCAACAGAGCCGTCATCAGATCCGAGGTGCGCCATTAGAGAGAGGAGAGAGAAACCTGCTGATACCAGATGAGGATACGATATATCTGAATGAATAATAATGAGTCTGTACAAGAGTATATATAGTAGTGAATAGTAAACCTATTACAAGACGAATACTAATAATAATAGGTAACGAATACTAATTACTAATAATAATAGGTAACGAATACTAATGATGATAGAGTCCTAATAATTATAGTTTCTTTCATTCTTAATTCTCTCATCCCAACCAAAAGTCATGTTAAGTATTTTCAAACTTTAGGAACTTTAGGGGGTAAGATGTGATTTCTTAATTTGTTGGAGATAGGGGTAGGCATTTCGGGATTCGGTTCAATTTTTTATTTTTTATTTTTTCGGTTTCGATTTCGGTTTCGGTATTTTAAAAATGATACCATTCAGTTTAATATTATAATTCGGTTCGATTTCGGCTCAGAATTGGTTCGGTTCGATTTAAGAACCTCAAATTTTAATATTTCCTAATTTTACAAACACACTACCAAACAATACATATTCACATAGTCCAGATCCAAAGTCTAAACATTAAATAACAAAATAGCAATCCAAAGTTTAAACACACTACTAAGTACTAATACCAAAAATCAGTTGGCTTTTCTGCACAAGCGACTATTCAGTTGGCTCACTTGGAATGTTTTATTGACAAGATGAAGAATCATCTATCTGTATAGTTAATATTTGAAGAACAAGTGTCAATAACTGTATAGTTAATTTTTGGACACAATCCGTCATTGCTAGTGCACTGGAAATATATTACAGTACTAGAAAATAATTTCAGTGCATTGGAGATCAAAATTAAAATAATGTTAAAGCACATTAATTTCATAGAAACATGAAACTAAGGAAAATATTGAATATTGTAAGAATAACTTAAGTTAGATGTAATTGTGAGGTAAAGAATAATTGCGTCATACAACAAAAGTGCAAAGTAGAGAACAAACCATAGAGAAATCAAATAAAAAATTTAAGAGAAATAGCAGTGAGAATAAAAACGAGACGGCGAAACAAGCATCGAGGGACTTAGATTTACTTCGTTATTATTATTATTATTATTAAAAATCAAACCACATTCGATTCGGTTCGGTTCGATTTTTTATCGTTCGGTTCAGTTCGACGTTCGATTTCGCCGTGGCAACGATTTCGCCAGAAATATTTCCTGCCTCAACAGATGCACGCTACTTTAGAGAGAATGGTTTGCCAGCTATTGGCTTTTCTCCTATGGCAAACACTCCCATTCTCCTTCATGACCACAATGAGGTTAGCACTTTCGTTTCTATATACAATAGTCTTTGTCTCAGAAGATCTATTCTGATGATGCACATTCTTATTGCTTTCACAAGTATAAATTTCTTCTTACCTTTTATGATATACTGCCATCTTATTTTAGAGTTTATAGCTTATTTTAAGCTACAATGTTTGGTAAAACATGAAGAGCTTAAAATAATAGCTTATTTTAAATGCAAGTAGCTTTTCAAAATAAGCAACTGGCTTTTTAACTTTTTTTTTTTTTTTTTTTTTGTTTTTTTAATCTTATTAATTTACACAAATGACACATTGGCACCATAATTCATTAATCAAAATCTTAATATCTTAGAATATCCTTTTATGTCTTTTTATACTTATCAACTAATTCAACAATTAATTTTATCAAACACTTTAATTTCAATTAGTTAGCTTATTAGTTACTAGCTTTTCAGCTTTCAGCTAGGCGTGCCAAACATAGCCAAAGTACTATGAGATGAAAAGTTCTCTCTCTGCACTTGTCTTCTCTTTAACCGTAATGTGTTACACAAGATACAGTGGCCTAATAGGATTGAAGTATGACACCTAAGAGAGAAAAAGTGCAAAGATTTGGGTGAGAACAGGTTGAAGTCAACCACTGTATATTTATATGTATCCATTCTGGTTTCTTTTTGAATGTATAACCAATTCTAATTAGTAGTGTATTTTGAAATTCTTCAGTTTTTGAACAAGGATGAATATTTGAAAGGAATTCGTGTTTACAAGTCAATAATCAAGGCATATGCATCTTTTGTTGAGCACACTCGAGATGATGAGTCGAAAGCAGAATTATGAGAATAGGATGCACTGATACAGCAGTCCTTCCTATCACACGATGCAATAGAAGGCCTCCCTTGTGAAACTCTGGCATTTATGTCATGTTCAATTTACATGAAATGCCTCTTCCTGGCGGATTTGTCTGTTTTAATATGCGAGGCTAAATAACTACGGACATGATACAAATGTCAATCGTGGCTGTGATATTTCTTCTTGTTTTATGCACTGTGTATGAAAGCGATAGCTTCAGAACTGAGAATCAGGTAGATACAGGCAGGGATGGATAAATTCGATGATGTTTCTTGCTCCTATCCAGATTCAACACCCTTTATCATCAGGAAAGATGTATGTTACTTTGTCTAACATAAAAAGCTAGAGTTATTTATGAAAAGATGTATGCTACTTTGGTGAGGAAATGACTAGTCATCAATTTTTCTTTACTGGTTTTTTTATGATGTCCTGATTTTAATTTCTCAGTTGGCTAATTAATGTTGAAAGACCCTCTGATGAGTTCAACTTCACGGTCGGGTTGGAGGTTCCAGAAGCTAAGCAACTTGTTTCCCCCTGACATTATCAACAAGCTGAAAGGCTATTTCTTATCCAGTGAACTCAATCAGAGGGACACCATCTCACGGAACCAACTTGTTTCCCCCTGACTTCCCTCATTGGCACTGGCACATATGGAAGTGGAGAAATGCTTTGATTTTCAAGAATGAGACCATTCATGTGCACCAGAAAGCCTCTTTGATCAGGAAGTATTGTAAGGACATCCAGTTTGCCTTTGCCAAAGACCAGCTCCTCAGCTGCTGGAACAAACCGGAAAATGGATGGGTCGCGATGAACGTTGACGGCAGCAGTAAGCTCACAAGTAAAGATGCTGGTTGTGGAGGAGTTCTGCGTGACTACCAAGGGAATTGGATCGTGGGCTTCCAGAAGAATCTTGGAGAATGTAACGCTAAGGAAGCCGAGGCCTGGGCAATCCTTCTTGGTCTCAAAGTTACTTGGCAATTCGGTCACTCTAAAACTATGTCGTTTCGTAACTTTCACAAGTGGTGCCTTTTTTCATCCAATCATAAATGACGGCTTTGGTAATGCAAGTTCACAAACCAAATACTGCAAGGTAGGTCCATATATACTAAAAACATCCCAATTTCAACCAAATATCTATTAAAATTATACTATAATCATAATTACATGTCAAATAGAACTACATTTAAATTTAAATTCAAATTAAACAGAATACAACCACATAATTGTAGGTTTAATTTCCAAGAAACTCTAATTAAAGCTGTTAGTTGTTGTCAATCTAGCTTAGCTTAATGAAAGAAATTAAAGATAGATCCTAGGAAGTTCCGATCCCACTTTTTCAAGAATATATATATAAAGTCAGAAGATGGAATATCCATAGGGAAGGTCAATTAAGAACGTCCATCGTAACCACATTTGAATCTATCATATCGAATCAAGATTTGTTGCCATTATGTACAGTGGTTGATCTCGATCAATTCGAGCAGCCTTTATTACACACCAACATACATGTTATTCTCGAATTGAAAGACCAGGCCGGAGCCATCTTCAATATGTGCTTCTTTCAAGTTATGGAAAATTGGAAAAGATTTTCACGTACCTCAGCGATTCCAACTCCATATATGCCATCCCAGCTGCCATAACGTTACTGTGTACTCACTTCCAGTGTCAGAAGAAGTGACCGAACCCGGCCTGATCTGATGACAGGGAAATTAAATTAAGGAGCCTTTTTTTTTAAAAAGGAGCCGTCATGACATTTATTCAAAATACTGCGAAATAGTGTGAGGCGGGACAGAGTCCCAATACATAATAGCAGGCTGACTAGAAACAGACAAAGCTAAAGTATGAGCTAAATAATTCTCTGATCTAGGAATGTAAACCACTGAACAATAATTAAAAGTAGTGATACGTGCCCTGCAGGCATCTATGGCATAGCCAATATACGACCGAAGTGGGGTCGCTGATTGTGAGAGGTATTGTTGTAGAGTCAAACAATCCGTGAATAATTGTATAGAGTGATTCCCACGAGTCCATAACCATGATATGGCTTCCTTACATGCGAGCGCTTCAGCCATAAGTGGGGACTGACAATCTGGCAAACGTATACTGAAGGCCAAAACATATTCTCCTTCTCCATTCAACAACACTGCTCCAGCAGTGGCTGCTCCCGTGTGATGCGAAAAGCTGGCATCGAAATAACACTTCAACAATGGCGCATGACTTTCCGGCGATGGCAACGTGGTTTCGGCGACGCTTGGTTGCAGCGGCATGGAAGCTCGAGAGGGATGAGCTTGTTCCCATGCGTGTACTACGGCAGCGGCTGCGGCAATTATTCTCCGCGGGCGTGGTAGGCATGTATCCCACACCGCTCCATTTCTGGCTCTCCAAATGTAATATAGAATTGCAGCTGCGTGGATAATCTGGTTAGTGTCTAAAATATTTAATAGTTCACTAAACCAAGTATAGAAAACATTTTTGATATTGATGGGGATTGGAAGGTGAGATTGGCTCCAAATGGACTTAGTATAGTCACACAATACTAAAGCATGCATTGTGTCTTCATTTGCCATTCCGCAGGGCCGTATTTTAAATTTTGGTGGCCCTGTTCTAGTAAATAAATGTGGCCCTACCAAAATCACAATTTTTAAAATTAATACATGTAAGTTTCGAACCTTTGACCTCCAAGTTAAAATACAACAAATACACATTCTTACCATCTCTTCATAGAACCTTTTAAGTTTAATTAAAAACTTTTAATTTTTATTTATAAACTAGCTAGGTAAAAATTAAATATTGGACCTTTAAAATTTGGGGCCCCTCTAAAGTTGGGGGCCCTGTGCGGTAGCCCAGCTTGCACAGCCTAAAATCCGGCCCTGCCATTCCGCACATAGCACATGTTGGTTGTATGTCTACTCTCTTTATAATCAGATTTGTCATAGTGGGGAGAATATCATTCAATGCTCTCCATAAGAAAGTTTTCCATTTGAGAGGTATTTTGAGTCTCTATAGGCCTAGCCAATTATCAAATTAAGGAGCCTAGATCAGAGTATATGACTTGATATTCATCAATTTTATTATTAATATAATCATATATAATCATATTCACACGTACACTAGAATTAATTAATATTATATATATTCGTATTCCTTATCTGATTTGGATTAGGAGTATTTGCATTATCTGATTTGGATTAGGAGTATTTGCATCCTTATATATTTAATAGCCCAGCAGCTCCCCTACATCTTTAACAATTCATCACTGCAACATCATATCGAATCTATATATATATATATATAAATTTCTTACAGCGCCCATTAAATTTCTCTATCTATCTATAATATATACATATGGCTTCTCATATATATTCACGGCAAGAGTTGGTTGTAACGAGCATGAATAAGAAGATTGAGAAATCCACAGATGGAAGTATTCTAGGAGTTACATCCAATACAAACTCTGCCAACTTTGTGTATCCAGATATACAAAATCAAAGCACCTTGCCTTATTCTGGCATTCAATTAAACAGTAATGGGCAAGCAGCAAATGTTCTGAAATCATTGCCACCTGCATTGGCAGCGTTCATCTCAAATTTGCCACCTGTTGAGGGCCCATCTCCAGATGCTGATTTTGTCACATCTCTGTGCCTGCAAACCAACATTCCTTCACTTACAGCCAAACCAAGACACAGACTAGCTGGAAAGAGGAAAAATATGGAGAGGCAAGATGATGATGACACGACGACTGTGCAGAGGCAGCCTCCACCTAGAGATCTTTTCAAGATTCGACAACTACTTAAGTCTCGGCTTTCCACTTCACACACAGGATCGGTATCAATTTCTGGAGACCTCTCTGGCAGGGGCAGGAGTGGCAGCACCAGTTGATAGCAATTACCAACTCATACATCTTCCATTTTCATGTATTATTACTTAGGCTCCCTTTGTATCATTACAATTTACTTTTCTTCTGGTGTTATGTTGCCCCCTATTCTGGTTCTAAGACAGTAGGAAAAGCTTGATCTTTTCCGAACTAATTCTGTAACAATGTGTACCCTTTGTCTCTTAATTAAGAATATTCTTTACAGAAAAAAAAAGTCAATGGAAAATGGTTCCCAAATTCTAAGAATATATAATTAAACCATTATAATTGTGAGAATAACGAAAACAAATTCTGCATAATAAATGAAAAAATTCATTGGGAACTCTGTGTAATTTTATAAGGAAATAATAATTCGAATATTAATTATTATTTACACAAATAATAATAATTCGAATATTGATTTTACACCAATAATCCATACTATATATAAAAACAAAATTTTTCATTTTAATTTCCCGCCCAAAAGATTCTTGTACTATTAAAGTTTGCGTAATATTGTAAAAATATGCATGGTAATACAATTTTTGAAGTACTTATGATTCGACCATCCACTTAGATAGGTAACTAAGATGCTATTGCACTGCATGGTAGTTGACAATACAATTATAGATTAAAATTACTAATAATAATAATAATAATAATAATAATAATAATAATAATAATAATAATAATCTATCTATCTATATCTATATATATATATAAAAGTAAAATCCTCCTAACAAATTTTCCCCCCAAAACATTTGTAGTAAAACTTATTTGGTAAGTAAATGTCAAATGGAAAATAAATAAATAAATAAATAAATAATAATGTTATTACCTTAAATAAATAAATTATTATACTTTCCCTTAAATAAATAAATTATTATACTTTCCTTTTGAATTAGTATTTTCTACCTATAAATACAATGGCTTCTTCAATCAAAGAATCTCAGACTCATCTCTCTGCTTTCTTTTTGTATGAATTTTCTACATTTTTCTAACTATATTCTCACATACTTCAATATGTTTTGCAGTTTATATCATTTGGTATGAGTTTGAAGATACTTAAGGAGGCTCTGCTTCAACAAAAGGAAATTGAGGAGGAAGAGCATTTGTAACAGAACCCTATTGGTTTAGTTTTTATGGAAGATTGTAGAGATGCGATCGAGGATGATAAAGACGGTAATTTTGATAATTTTGTAAGATTTTCTGAAACTTAGAGTTAGTATGTTGACTTCGAGATTTGTACATGTCATTCAAGTTTCTATGTTTTTTTTTTTACCAAGCAGAGTTCATTTTACAGCATTTCACAGCATTTTTATATATATCATTTGAGTAGAGTGTTTGTTTAACCTATTAAAAATCTCGCTATATTTGATTTTTTCTAAATTTTTGTAAAACACAAAAATAATGATTATTTAAAAAGAACAAATAAATAACAAATACAATTTCAAATTTTGTGTTACTCCATTCACATATTAGTATAAATAAATAAAAAAAGTAATAAAATAAAATACAAAGGAAATATAAATT